TTATTTCCCATGTTGGCTACGCCGTAATATGCAACCACTTCCTGTTTTATTGTGATTTGAGAGTGTTTAATGATGTCTTCCTCGCCCGTCACGCCATGACCCAGTTTCAACCACACGGCCATTTTGCAACAAGTGCATGACCCTCGGCGTCACCCGACTGACTATATGATCGTTCTGTTCAACTGTTAAGCTAGGATTTATTACCGTTATTATCATTATATTGTCACATGATTTGTTTTACCTTATGTGTAATGTCTTAAGTATCTTTATTGTAATTTGTATATACCAATTCGTATATACCGAGGAAACGACCCCGATTGAAGGTCATGTATTTTGTGACGTCACCAATTCGTGTGTAGGTACGGCTTCTAGATCCGTGCCAAATAGTAAATGACCTATGACCAGCACCTACCTCTAGCTGGTACGAAGCTAGTTGTATTTCCAGACTGTGAGAGATCAGTTCTTCTTGGTGGTTGAATGACTCGACTCTCACTCACATTGCATTGACAACTAAGCTGTGCACTGGCCCAGGTCAACGTATCAGGCTTGCTGAGAAATACAAAAAAATAATCAAGATGAATAATCTAATGATAATATAGACATTTTTGCATGGGTGGTATTTTGACCGCTCTTGCCTAGTCATTGGCAACCATAATGTAGGGTAAGAGTTTCCTCACCCATGACTCTAATCATATAACCCTGATATTCCAGTGCCTCACCCCCAGTTAAATTGTACATGTCCCTCTTCAGGACAAGTATAGTTATCTGGAGAAGAATATACAATTAAATTTGGGGCTTGTTCGGGTTACGTACAGATAGGGTTAGGGTTGCATGAGATTAGGGGTGGGGAGGTGCTTAAGTAACTCTTTCCCAGCGGCCTCAGATTCATGTACCAAACTGGCTATATAAGAAAAATCTTTTATTGTGAAACTGTCCAACACATATTCAAATTTTATATCATTATAAATAATAAAATAAAAATATCCACAATGATGTTGATTTCTGTCAAAACAATAACTAAATCAAGGTCATAACCAAACTGATTAGGACCCACTCAACAATAAATTTTGTTATGTATTATTATATTATTAATACAGAAGAATAACAATGTACAAAAGTATTACTATTAGTACATTATATCACAGTCCATCTAGATAGAGGGACTGTGATTATACATACCTCGTACTGACATTATCGCAGACAGGATTGCTGAACGTAACGGTACATTCTAATGTCTCACCGGCTAGAAATACAGACCCTCGAACAATGTTTGCAATAACTTCTATCATATTGAATTCAGACCAGAGCCAGCGGCTTGAAATGTGTACAAAAGTACAGTCTCCGTGGCACAAACGTTATCCTTTTCACTTCCGGTTCACAAAACAAAACAAAACAAAAATGTATTTGTTGAAATTGCATACAGCATACAGCTACCGTAACTACTCCCAGGAAATTCTTCTTTTTTCTTAAACACACTTGCTTATTCTGAACATATCTACTAAACGTTTCCAACACAAAGATATTTCTGACTGGAAAACTGGGTAAAAAGCCCGTACACTACGCACCGACACAACTCAACTATTTCAAATACATATTCATACATCGATGACGTCATCATAACCTACGAATACAGCAGCACATAAATCGGTGACGCCACACAACAACATCAGACCATGGCAGACGATGAATGTAGTTGTGCGGACTCCACTTTCCCGTCTACCGTACCGGAGTTTGGCTGGAGAATCAAACTTGATCATGTATTCGCGGAAAAGAGGGCACCTCTCAGAAGCCTGAGACTGAAACAGATTCCTGAACTCTTGCCGATGTTTTTCAGGTGAGGGCGATAACTTTTTTTCTCCAGTCAGACCCGGGGACAGTTATTATTAATATTACGGGCAAAGTCTATCATACAATATCAGTACATTCAATTTATAGAGTAGATACCGTGTTTTGTGATTGACTGGTATAGCGTCTGTTTTTAGCTCATCGTCAATGATACATAGAGGTCAAATGGTGTCCCATTGTCGCTAAAACTATGCAACATAAATAAATTATCTTTCATTTTTTCTTTTTAAATTTTAAATGAAAATGATTCAATTTTATATTTAACTGCAATAATATTTATAGTCATAGCACTGACTTATGAAGTTGCTGCGATGACGTCTCAAAGATAATGAAAAAGTTAAAAAAAAAAGGTAAAAAAAATGTGTATGAACAATTTGATAATACATTAAGACAATAAAATTGTTTTTATATTGGGGACACCCCTATGTTTCGACACACCTTTATTTCAACACCCCTATGTTCCCACACACAGTACTATAATACAATAATTAATTTGCGACAGTAAAATATTTTTTGGCAGCAATGAACTTAATTTCAACAAGTGAAATAAACTTATTTCAACAAGATGATGCCATGTGGAAATGTTATGATTAATAAATCATTTTTGTTTCAAAGTGTCACATAATTAGTGATTTTGACAAACTGTGAAAAAATGGACAAGTTATCTTTAAAAATCTGATCACTGATTACAGTAATGATTAACATGAACATCCATTAAGAGATAGATGTAACAGGAGGATAATCCATAAAAATGTCGCAATTCATTAGTTACATGCCCTATAGTTGTTAGTATTTTTAACCCGCAGCATTTATCTGTCGCAATTTGTTGAACAATTTATACCAAAATAGACTTACATGAGACTCAGTGAAATAAATAAAGTGACGTATAAATTGGGAAAATTCAATAATGTATTGACTGAGACCCAAAAATGAATCCTGAATCATATTTGCAAATTGGCAGTACCACTGTAAATTTTATGACATCATTATTTGCCTGAAAATAAGCATAGCGATAACGATAAACACATAAATAGCAGGACATTTAATTATGGTTCTTACTTTGTATGTGTTAGATGTAGAACACCTCCCTTCATGGTGAAAATTGATAAATTCAGACGGTTTGGCACTGCATGATTTGCTACTCTCAAGCATCCAACAGGGGTGCAGCATCTTGACTTTGAACTGAAAATTGGCAGTGTTGAACTACCTCATGATCCCATGTTAAATGAGCTCTGGAATGAACTTGGCTTGGATCTATTCGGATTTTAACGCAAACAAAATCGATGCAGGATAAAAACCTTAATTCTTTTATTTTTTTTACGCTCCCCCTTAAAAACTTCAGTATACCATACTGGTTCGACTTTAGTGTACTAAGCTCTGAAAATCATGTATTATAAAGGGTGGGTGCTTAGTCAAGCATTTGTTAACTATGTACCAGATTTAAATAGGGAGATACATGGAAATTTTTTGAAAACACAAAATTGAGAAATGAGTTGCGTCGTCATTACAATGAAGAAACAGAAATTTGTTAAAATATTATTTACATACCATCAGAATTTATGGTATAAAAATTATCAGGATCTGTGGGAAACAAGTCAAGAGTTGCATCATTATCTTTGTTGTTGAATGTTTTTGTTTAATTGTACACAAACTCTTGATTTAAAGCTATTTCTGCTGTGATGTTTTATGCACGATTTTACCTGCAACAATGTTCCCTGACCGTTTTTGCAGAAATGAGTTACTTCACAATTTTTTAAAGGTAAACTGAATATGAAAATAATATTTAACACCTTTTATGGCTGTCAACAGGTCATCTGGAATTGTAGATTAGCTGTTCACTGCCCATTCATGATAGTCAAAATGGACACTAATTATTTGGAGAACAATGTTCAAAGACCAGGTTTCATGGCTTGACGATCTAATCCCCCAACAGTAGGGCTTGGCTTGGCACAGGGGGTATTTAAAGTCAGACGAGTATGGAAATATTGATCATCATTATAAATTATACCTCATTTTCAGGAATGGTGCAAAATTATATTTTTTATTATAGTGAACAGACAGTGTGTGCCTGCCAACATTGAGTATCTTTAATATAAATAACTTTATAAATTTACTGCTTAGACTTTTAAAAGTTATTATGAACAAGGATTCATTAAAAAATAAAATCAACTTTGTTCTATAAAAATTTTTCAGGTCAAACATTAAGAAACTGTAATGACTATACCATAGTGCATTTAAAACTTTTTGTTGTTGAAAATATTGAGATTTTCTGATGATTTATACCTAAATAAGCAAAAATTGAAGTTTAAAAAGTATATACTGGATCCATGAAGTATAACTTATTTTGTCATAGACTCACCTCTGTCATTTAGATACATTGTACAATGTAAATGCATACATGTATGCTAATAATAGAGCAAATACAGTTTTCAGATTCACCACTATTTTAGCCAGCCACCCAAATATTATCTATCTATCTATCTGTATGTTCTGGGCCTCAATATCATCTGATCATGGAAAGATTTAATTAACATCTGTATAGGCTCAATTTTTTTTTTTATATAATTTTTTGGTTGCCTAATTGTGCAGTTTGAAACTTTTTGATTTGATACGCATGTGCTGTCTTCACATGGTACTGTCTGACCAATGATAGCGTCACTGCATGGTATCATGATCAATAATTCACTCATTCCAACTTTGCCTTAATTCTGAGATTTAACGACCTTGGTATATAGTCACAATGATTTCAGTTTGTAACAGCTGGGGTTTTTCTATACAAATGAAACACGTACAGTAATTGAAGTGTTCAATTGTATAATAAAATATTTAAGGTCAGGATCCAAAAAGAAAACTTATGAAAACAAACAAGTACATATACTTATAACAATCATTCTTGCTGGAGCAATTGTGCAAAATATTAGAATAATTCCCAGATTATCATAGCCAGTACAACATATTATTATGTTTTTCAAGTTTCCATAGCAACAACATAATCTCTAGGTTAAATATCTACTGAGGAATGTTTCAAAGCAAAATACTTTCTGATAATTCCTCAAAAGCATGTTCAGCAACCTGCCCCCCCCCCTTCCCAACCAAAGGCGTTAAGCAAACAAATATGGATCAGTGATACATTTTGTTTTGAAAGATTTGTGGAATAATGTAAATGTAATGTAGGTGTACTAGTTACATGCCCTTGCTTCCACTGGTAACTAGCTATTAGATAATAATTAACAATAGTATATGTAAAAATATACACATAAACTGTGCCACTATATCTGTATTTAATTTCTTTACCTATAAAGGAAAAATTCCGCTAAAGGGCTATAAAATAGACGAGGTAGGACACAGCACATTCCATTTTCGGATACACCACATACCAGACTTCTTGTTTGCGAACATTATTTATGGTATTCCTAGAGGATGGTCGAGCAACAAATAACCAAATCCTCATTATTTTAGTGTAGAATAGTGCATAATTTTTATTTGCTGGTTTTGAAAAATCATTATAAAATACAGTGATAAACCAAAATATTCATGTACATACTGAAAAAGTTGCTTGATATATATTGCTGTGGCAGTATATTGTTTTTTATCGCCCGTAAGATAATTTCGCCTGCCATCGAACTAAGTTTAAATATGCACAGAACGGCAACTAGGCACATAATGTATTTAAGTAACAGCTAACTGATATGAGTTGCCCTGTATTTCACCTATGAATACAGGCATGAGATTTAAAATGAAGGATTACACTACTTTGATATTCATTATGTAGGTACGCATGGTATTGCCGTGGTGTAACAAAGAAAGGTCGCCGTCCTTACATTGATCAGATTCACCCTTTGCAATCAACGCAGTCTTATGGTAACTTTCTCAATTATTATTTGTGTATTTGATAAAAAAATAGCTCAATCAAGTATTTATGTGCTATGTTTTGTGAATCCAAGTATACACATGTATATTTCAACCAAAAAACTATGAGCTATTTACAGGAACTACTGTAAAATACTTTATTTTAGCTGGAATTATTTTTTGCTGAAAAGACTTACCCGGTATTGGGTGTTTTGTATGAAATTTTATTTTCACTGATTTCTGACAAGTTGAATGTAAAATATAGGAACAAGAGTATATTCGCTGGATTTTATTTTCACTGAATCATTTCTTCAGAGAAAATTAATTCCAAGTGAAAATAAAAACATTTTACAGTATTACAATGTAACTTTTTGAATATTTGCATAATTTATGCATTTTTCTATACCGGTAATTTTGTTTATAATTTCGAACCAAACTGACATAATTTAATATGGTCTTGATCTTGATCACAATTATTTGTTTTGTGAAAAGCTGGCTGATTTTAGTGCTCAAAAGTTAATTAATTATACATACAATTTTGGAAATGTCAGTACTGTAGATTATTACATATGTACTGCAGTTTATTTTGATTCGTCCCTGAAATCAAAATCGGTATTTCCACAACCCATATGCAAATGAGGTCTGAGAGCAAACAAAGTAGTCCCTTCAGGAGTACAGTTTTTCGGAATAAACAATATTTAGAAGTACGATATTTTCCTCTTGGGGTACATGAATATACTTGCCGAGTGAAATGAAATTTGAACAACAGTAATGGTACTTTTAGACAGTCACTTATTTTGGCCCAAACTAATTTGCATATCACCCATGCAATAATGTTTTCGGTATTTTCACGGTCAATATACAAATGAACATGGTATTTTCATTGGCTACCGAACTATTTTTATTTTGTAAACACATTTTGTCAGCTATTTTTTCCAGTTCAAATCGTCCAACATTTTTGGCATGTCAGGTGTACATCACATGGAATACAACGATTGGGAGAACTTAATGTATATTGACCACCTGGAAACTGAGTTTTATAAACCTTGAAGGGCTCTCAGAAGATCCACCAGCAGTAAAATCAGCGATTACTATGCAGCCGCAACCATCAGCATCGAGATACCAGGCTTCTGCTGGTGACGTTGCGGCGTTACTCAGTTCCAAATAAAAATTACCAACGCCAAAAGAGCAACATTTTAACCGGTAATCAAGACTCAGTTAATCCACGACCAGCAAGCAACATCACACACGAAGTTGTAGCGTGCAGCTAAGCGACAACCGCTGTCGACAAAAGTCATCCCGTCTGTGGAGTACTGCAGCTTCGCTCGTGAAAGTACGGCCGCAGGATACACCGCATCACTCGTGAAAATAACTTCCATACGCAACGAAAGCCACGGGGAGGGTGTGGGGTTCTGTCATAATATTATATTTAACTATAAATTTATTTTTTCTAGTTACACTGCATGAAAAATCAAATCCAATTGCTATGTATGGTTTATACACTTCATGAAATCAGTGAATCAGTGAAAGTAAATATCAATCAGTCAATTTAAATATGTGCACATGCGAATTGGTTTATTTCTGGCTTGATTCCAGCCACATACATGTAATCATTTACATAGATGTATGGTACACCATGCATACATGTACAGGTATGGTTTTCTGATATTACTTCACCTGTTATATGAAAAGTTACAAACTTACAAAGTTTTTTTCTCTCCACACACATAATTGAAGGCGTTCCTCTTGGCGGAATTGGCTGTGGTTGTATTAACAGGGGTTGGAAAGGAGACTTCTGTAGATGGTCCCTAATCCCGGGAATGTATACTCATGATACAGTGCAAACAGATCAGGTTTGTAAAATTCAACTACCGGTACATATGCATCTTACCAGCTTATTTCAACATAAAAATTTTCTGAAAATTTTAATAAAATTTGTTAATAATTCCTCTACCATAAAAGTTTGCATAACAACTAATTTCCATAGGATTAGTAGGCAATACTTGGAACTATTGACAGTGGCCCTTCTTTGGTAGCATGCATGAGTACGCCTGCTACAATTAGACTGATACATTTGTGACTATTGTTTTATATGATAATTTCTTATAGAACGAGTTGTAGAATCCCTTGCATTGACGCAAAATTTCCATGAATGTTTGTTCTGTCTCGCCCTCTATATAACTATCACTGCGTTTTTGAGATGAGAAATATTCTAATGGGTATCGTGAATTGATCTGACCTGTTCTACGCATCTATAATGCATGCAAGACCTGATGCGTAGAATCCTGCATGTCTATACTTTCCTCTTGTGTTCCAAAATGTCAGAGCATATCATGATTCATTAATAGCAATAAATACGCCCCTGAATAGACCAGGTTTGGTAACTTCCTGTCACACTGTGATTTAAGAAAGAAAAAAATATATTATAAAATTGCCACGGCTTGGCCAATCTAAGTTACATTGTATTATGTTCTGGTAGATTGATGCAAAACCTAGTAACTTAGGGGGCTTTGTTAGAGCTTATGAATGCTTGGTAATATGTCTAACAATTATCTTATTGACTTTTATCATCTCCTACATGACCATGTTAATGAATGCAATTCTGGCCAGCTTCTGACATGTTATTGGTTGATAGAACATTCTATCAATTTAAACAATGATTTAAGTATAACCCTTAGAAAGCAGACATGCACCTGTAGGTATTCCTATTTTAGTAACAGCTAAAACTATTTCAGATGCTAAATCCACCAGTTATGTGCATTATGGTATTAACTGTTATTGAGATTATAACCCACGTTGCACATGGAAAGTTAGATTATCTTTTGTCTTCGACAGGATTTGCATGTCCCTGTTTTCTGAGATCATATTTACTGTACAGTACAAAGAATATTTCACTTCCTCTGATTCATCTTTTGAGTAATTTCAGCATGTAGACCCCAATTTAATAACCATGCGATATTGTTTTCAACATCACCGATAATTGTATTTGCAAAATTTAGTATTATTCTTTTTTTCATAGTGATATTTTTTTAAATACAGATGTAATAATCATATACTCTGCATATCTAAACAGTATTTCATCTCTTTTGTTCAATATTTGTTGAAAAGGTCAAAGGGACCATTTTAACCTAAAAAGATTGTTTAATTTTTTACCCACAATTCTCAACGTGACCTCATTAGATCATGGACTTCAAAAGGCCTGGTGACCTCATCAGACTGTGTGACCTCATCAGACCCTGTGAACAGTTATCTATATGGCAATTTCTACCTACATACATTGAGTATACACCATTTATAACCACATAAACTTTACTCAACAGTTCACAGTATGCATCCGAAGAGGTGGTCGGACTACCTATCAACAGGTTTTATCGACGTCTCGGCCGACTGACCAGAATTTAAATACATGGAATTGGGGGTTTAATCCTTCATGTGCAACTTATCATGCTCTCTACCCACGAGCCTGGACAGTGTATCATCTTCCCGGACAAAATGTGACATTACTATGCAGACAAGTATCACCTATATTACCCCATGATTATAAGGTAAAGTAGTCTAGCAGTGCCTCACATATCAACACTGTAATGATAGAGGATTATTGGTAGTGCCAGTATGTTGATGTACAATCGTGAATTTAAAAAAAAGATTATTATTATTGAGAAAAACTGTTACAATGCTGTAACTAAAAGTTCTTGGTCTAGTTCTATTAGTGTACAGGGCTGTTATGTCATCATGGCATGAATTATCTATGTATATTGCCACCAACATTTTGTTCCAAACACTAAAACAACAACACTGTCGGCTAAGCCGCTGGCTAGTTTGTTGTCCACGTTTTAAGATTGTTAGAACTTGTTAGGTCAGACCATTTTTCTGAAGGTGATATCTTTCGGCTAAATGCACTGTTTTACCAAATGTTAAATGCCATGTACGCGAAACACCAGCGGCTGTTTCTTTCAGACTACATCTGTGAGTACATTTTGTTAGAAATAATTTCGCCATATATTTATCATATAACAATTTATATGATTGAAAGGTAATTGTATCATGTTCTGTTTAAACTTGATGTAACCAAATTATTCACTATCAGTTGGACGTCTCCTGTCATGGTAGGTTTGACCAACTTGTTCTAATCATATAACGATTTCAAGACACGCATAATGAATCAGTCAGCAACTTAGGCTGCTGTTTTGGTGTTCAGAACAATATGGTGGAGCCAGTAAAGACTTCCCTGGAAATATGGTACTGTGAAATATTTAATTTTTGCTGAAAAGACTTTTTGGGTATTTTGTATGGAATTTATTTTCACTGATTTTTGGTGAGTTGAATGTAAAATATAGGAAAAAAGGTATATTCGCTGGATTTTATTTTCACTGAATCACTCCTTCAGTGAAAATAGCGAAAATAAAGTATTTTACATTATCTATTTACTGGCTTTATTTCAGGACACCAGCCTCCCAGTAGCTGTATTTGTCTGGGAAGTCTACAATCATGGAAATGAACCTATTGATGTCACTATCATGTTTTCATGGCAAAATGGAACTGGGCAAAAAAGTGATAAGTCTGGTGGACGATGGAATAAACCATTTACAATGAATGAAGGATTAGTAGATGGTGTCTTATTACACAATGGACATCCAACAATATCATGTACTATGGCAATATCAGCTGTTTGTAAGGCGAGTCCCATCTGTAATGTGAAGTACCTAATACATATATGTATCTGCCATGAAAATAACTGTAAACCATATATCAGCAGAGTAAACATTTTTACAAAATAAATACATTTGAACTAAGAAACATCTGTCACCACATGCTAAATTGTGCAATAATTTTGCTGTATTGCACAGGATGAAACAGTCTACTAAATGGTTACACAATTTTTTCAAGGTTTAATATCAAAGCATCATAGCAAAGCATCCTACCCAGTTCTTGGCTTCATACACCACTGTATCAACCTCTATTATGCTACAGTCGCTGCTCCTGCTATCCAGGTGCATACGTTTGGTATCCTAGTAACAGTAACCACTTAATATTTTGCTTTGTTACACTCTGTCATATATTATGTTTACAGGACGATGTAAGTGTGAGCCATAAGACTGCATTTGATCCATCTGGTGATGGACTTGAACTATGGCAGGACCTGATTAGTGATGGTGAACTTGACAGTGAACCAGGTAGGCCTTATTTAACACTATACTAAGTATATTACAATTCATCTATTGTTTAATTCCTGCTGATTTGATATCTTGAGACATATCCAGTGCATAATCAATTTAAAGAAACTGCAATGTATATTTTGTATTTTTAAATACTAATACACACACCTCTTCAATTTGGTGACTCTTAAGTTATCAGTTAACCATATATGTAGTGGTTAAAATTGCTGCCATCAAGTGCATCCTTGAGTGCCTGGCAGATTCATAGATGAGCAAATTAATAATATCCTTGCTTTTTCTATGACAAGCAAACCCATAGCTGGATATTTTTCATACAAATGGATATCCTTCAGTTTTTGAAAATAAATACATTTTGTAGCTCAAAATCTACAAAAGAACAAAAACAGTTATTTTTAAAGAGTTAAATATATATTTGAACTGATTCTAAATGCAGGTGCCAGTTTCAGAACAGTGCCGGGTGAATTGACTGCTGCAGCTGTTGCAGCAAAATGCCATGTGGCTGCATCAAGTTCCTGTACTGCTGAATTTTGTCTTGCATGGGATATGCCAAGGGTACAATTCATGGCTAAAGAGAAAATACACAACAGGTAATCAAATAGTAGTTAAAGTAGTACTAATTCATCTTTACATGATCATAACAGAATTTGTATTAGGTACATGTATATGGTTACCTGAACAAGGCACTTGTAGTTTGTGAAGTAGAAAGAAGCATATTATTTCATTTGTATATATTCAAATTATTGGATATCTTTTCAATCATTTAAATATTGATGGTATTCAGGGCATAATTGAGTGTTTGATCATAATGCCTCATCGTGGAATTTCTTAAGAACTTTCAGGCTAGCCTGTTTGGCAACAAAAATTGAATGTTTACTATGTAAATATAGTTTGTGAACTGATCAAGTATTTGGGATACTGTCTTTTTTTTGCTGTAGTTCCTGCGAAGTGGGTATATTCATAGTGTTAAACATTCCATATATTAGTTCAGAAATATTATTACCTACACATAATTGTAATTTCAGATTACAATTCATGTTTAACCTGTTCACCACCAGACTGTCTCGTCCACATTTTTCTGTATATTTTTCTTATATTCTTCAATATTTCTAGAAATAAAACTCAAAATTTAAGTTAATTTACAGTTTTTACTCCAAAAATTTTGCTATTTTATTTGTCCCAATCTTCTGAAGAACAGTGCAGACTATAAACAGGACTATTTTGTGAATTTGTGATGAAAAGAAGGACTTGGTGGTGAAAAGATTAAAGATTAACATACTGAATATTTGCCAGAAAAAGGACTAAATCTGGGAGATTTAAAAACATTACAAATTCTTGATATTTTGCTGAGGAAAGGGCAAACCTTATTCTGATGGCCTTTTTGAATTGAAAATTCTTCTGGTACTAGTTCAAGTTCCTGTATCAAAAGTGTGTTCATCTTTAACAGTTACATTACTCTTGGCGCAACAAAGGCATTCCCTTAATCTTTATAAATATTCATAAATTTCAATGGCAGGTGAATCTAACCAGCCAATCAATGGACACAGTATGCAGTGACATCATTTAAAAATGGTCCAATGTTATTCAATTGGCCAATAGAAACCTTTTGTTTCAATTTGAATTGTGAAGAGAAAGTTTTTGTTGTGCTGAGAATATACATTGTATTACATAAATACTGTATTAAACTAAATACCTTGATACTTGTAGGAGATACACAAGGTGGTTTGGCACAGATGGTGATGCAGGACCATCATTATCAGCTTATGCTCTAACCCAGTATCGAGAATGGGAACACAGAATAGAAAGATGGCAAAACCCAATATTACAAAATGAGTGAGTTTAATAACTAGTTTATAGTACTTTTTAAGACTTGCTTGTTGAGTTGCTGCTACATATAATTCACGATTGTGAATGGTTTGGGGTGTATGTTGGAAAAGAAATATATTAAATAATTTGTCTATTGTAATAGCATGTTTTAAACATAAATCTTCAATCATTATCACATCATTCAACTTTAAAAATATGTGGGTACTCTATGCTAGCTCTTTTAAATATATTAGCATATTTGTTCCATTAGAAGCACATCTCTAATAAAAGTGCACATAAATCAAGAATTTCATGTATTTGTTTGTTGGACTACAGAGACACTCGTTTATTTAAGCACTTATGCTACTAATAAAGCAAATACACTTTCTTTCTCTCTCTCTCTCTCTCTCTCTCTCAGTAATTTGGCTTCAGATTTCAAAATTGTGATGTAACATTTGCCTTATATATTGACAGGTCTTTGCCAAGTTGGTACAAATCAGCGTTATTTAATGAATTGTATTTTATATCTGATGGTGGAACAATCTGGATAGAACATAACAAAGAGCACAATGGTTTGATAAATTCTGGTGACATCAACAACAGTGTTATTAAGCAGTATGGGAAATTTGCATATTTAGAAGGTACATGTATCTATGTGTATTTTATTTGTTACAACCACAATAGGGACAATTCTGCTACTTCAAACTCACTGAAATTTACAGAATTAAAATAAAAAAATTGTGCCATATCCTCGTGAACTATAATGATGGCATGCTTTTTATAGTCAATAATTGCAGAATTGATAATAAATTTACCTATTCCCCAAAGTACAAAGTTGTACAAATTCTACAATTCGGGCCACGAAGCTACAAGAACCTTGAAAAAAATGAACTCTGATTTCCAGTTTGTGTTTCTCATATACATTATTTTAACTACACAACTGTTATTGGTAATAATCATTGCATACTGTAAAATGACTAATTTTAACTGGGTTTAAATTTTGCTGATTTACATTTCAGGCATATTCAGTGTGTTTTAAATTCTTGGTTTTATCATTTAGATAATGTGTTCTATGCTAAATTTTACGTATTCACTGGGTTTTAATTTAGCGCATTTTCCAGTAAGCAAAATAAGCAAAATTAAAACCCAGTGAATAATTAATCCCTTTACAGTAGTACGAATTTGCACTGCACTAACTTGCATTGTGCTAATTTGCATTGTGCTAATTTGCATTGTGCTAATTTGCATAGTATTAATTTGCATAATACTAATTTATATAACCTTTATTTGCATAGTGTAACATAGAGTGTGATGTAAAACACATTATGTGTTTGCAACCGAGAGTACAATTTATAATTTATAATATAGTCTTCTAGTTATTTTGTAGCAGGTGTTTCATGGGACATGACTATGCAGGCACTTACATAATTCCACATAATTATAAGTACATGTATGGTCTCTTCAGCAAGCTATACTTACCTATGGTACTTTGTTCTTGTTCATTCTTAGGTCATGAGTACAGAATGTTTAACACTTACGATGTCCATTTTTATGCCTCATTTGCTCTTATCATGTTGTGGCCACAACTACAACTTTCACTGCAGTATGATATAGGTTTGTCTGATTCACTTTGTATTATTTTTTAATTTAATTTACTTTTAATTGTTTATTAATTGTATAATGGCCCCTGGCCAATTACAATCATACAAATTAATTATTGACAAGAAATATATTAATATTACAAAATATGTATGAAAATATAGATGAAGAGGGTGTCAATATAACCTTTGTATTATCAATACATACATGGGTAGTTTTGATGTGTTTTTTTTAAAAAAAAGTGTGTCGATCAGTAAGAATTAATTGAAATCTGCAACTTTGAATTAAATATATAACACCACATTTTTACATGGGTATAACAAATTTAAACTTTGGGAATAAAACTCATCATCACCTACATGTAGTTTTGTTTTTTAGCATGACTGAAGTCTACCATCCAAACTTTTCAACTGATTCTCACACAAATTTACTATCCTTGAAAGGGTGGGTAATTGAGATGAGAATTATTGTGTTAATTTCTATGTAGCTATACACATATACCTATGAATTAGTATTGACTGTTGCGTTTATCTTTTAGCTTCAGTTATTTCTGTTGAAGATCCTGAAATTCGAAAAGCACATTTTGGTGGTAGGTCCAAGAGAAAAGAAAGAAATGTTGTACCACATGATATTGGAGATCCAGGTAGGTGAAAACATTCCTGTTCCCTCACGCCCTTCCCTTTTATTGAGTCTAAGATTGAGTTGTTTTACCAGTATGTATTTTAAAGGGAGGATCTAGCTTCATCTCACCTGTGTTAAATACTGTGTGGTATGTCTTTTTAACAGATTTTTAAAGAAACATTTTTGAATGTGTACATATGGTATATAACTCTATACATCACAACATGACAAACTAGAAAAACCAAACATAAAAATAGATTGATCTGATCCCAGTATATTCTACATTGGTTGACCAGTAGATCACAATGCCCCTATAGGAAGTAACATGTGTAATATACTAAAAGCAACAGTTAGAGATCAGAGTCAGAAGTTGGGGGTACGCAAGATTCATGATCACATTAACCATGGAGTAGGCTGTTTGTGGAATATTCCTGGGCCACCATGTTATAGAACCTATTTAAGTTGGTTAAAATAAAAATATGGCAAAGCTTCAGTTAGATAATTGTGTTTCCAAATCGAGCTACTACTTGTTCCTATGGATGAGCATCATACAATAATAATGTACCTTTCAAACTATAATTGGCTTTCAACCACATACTACAGATACATTGTACTGACAAGAAAACTTTAAAACGACCTTAATTTTCTTTCACAGATGATGAACCTTGGGTGCGTGTGAATGCTTATTTAATGTATGATACAGCAGATTGGAAAGATTTGAATTTGAAATTTGTTTTGCAAGTTTATAGAGATTATTATGTGACTAAAGACTTTATATACTTGCAAGATATGTGGCCGAAAGTAAAGGTAAGTTCATGTTCATGGTTAAAGCGGGGTGTCGTCACCTGCGTCAGATGGCCATAACATGTCATTGTTTACAAACAAGCATCTACCCATGAGCCTTTGCGTTTTTAGCGTGTGTTGTTATCATCGCTTGGAACTCAATTCCTGCATGTGCGCACTCTCGCTTTAAATATTAGTTGACACTAGTCATTATGGTGTTGGTATTAGTAACTTGGTGATTTTGAAAGCATTGATGATGATAAGGCTGTCACACTGTGATGTCATTTGTTTACATTTGTTGTCAACCAGTATGCGAATGTCTAATAACACATGATGCTCACTGATCAGCACAAGCTCACAATCTGTTGTAAGTTTTTTTATTACAATAACAAGAGCAGCAAACAACACCGTTATTTCATCTTTGGGTGCGAACGACCGGTTCTTACCATCCAGTTACTGCGCACACGAGTAAGTGTGACAGCATGTAGTGATGTGGGTATTGATGGTGATATTGGTGATCTATTGTTTTTGGTGCTTGATATAAATAAGGACTGTTATGTTGGTAGCTTCTATGTTGGTGATGGTAAGTTATACTATATTGATGATGATGTTGATATTGTTCATATGGATAAGGAAAATTACATGTAGGTCAACAATATGTCATGATTTGTATATTTCTGTGAATAGTACCCCCGGTAGGAATAACTTTGTCATTTGTATGTTTTAGGTTGTAATGCAGACATCTTTAGCTTGGGATACTGATGGTGATGGCATTATTGATAATTCAGGATATGCAGATCAGACATATGATGCGTGGAGTGTCACTGGTGCTAGGTAAGTGTTCTAGTTGTAATACTCTTTATGAACTGAATGCAGCTTTCATGTTCTGAGGTCCCAAAAATGCCAGGTTACCAAGGCAGTGTGGGCTGGTTGACGGGGCATGCTGGTCAGGTTGCTAGTGGACAGTTGGCAGGTTGCCAGTGGACAGTTGGCAGGTTGCCAGCTGTCAGTGGGCAAGTTTCCAGGGCACACAATCCAAGTTGCATGGATATATAATTCTTTCCCGCTCTATCAACCATTAATTGTGCGTTGTAAATTACCTAACATTACAAAGCAGAGCAATATGATATATCTTTATCATTTTAGTATTAATGCATGACATAAGTCAGTTTGTTGCTAATAACATGTAAACCCCAAATAGTTGCAGGCTTTCCAAGTTATTCTTGTAAACTGAAATTATATTTTAAAAATGCCATTCTTCATCATGTTTGTTCAGTGCTTATTGTGGGGGATTATGGCTGGCAGCCGTCAGAGCTATGATGGAAATAGCAAAGATACTTGATGAAGAAGACCAATTTAAAAAATATTCTGATGTGTTGATACAAGGAAAAAGTTCTTACGAGAAGAAATTATGGAATGGTAAGAAAGTAGAAAGCAATGTTTATGTAGGATTTTTGAACAAAGTTACTCATGCATACATACCAGTTGTATTTGTAACACAGGATAGCAGTAATAACTGATATTGCTTGGTTGCAGTTAAATTCAATCTAAGATGCAATTTCATATATAAACTGTAACTTGATTCAAACTTTATATATAAATCTTACATCTTGATTCACATATGCAACAAATAAATAAATAACAAATAACAAATTTTATTGCATCCTTGAAATAAATTTTTCATCAGTTAAAAGCAATAACAATGAAATACATAAACAAACAAAAAATGTAAAATGCTCAAAAGAAAAGGGAAAAAAAAAAATGACAAAAGTAAAAATTATCTTTTAATTGGATGTTCTGTTCTAATGTCAAATATGGCATATACATATTCACCCACTTGCCTTATAATTTCAACATCATTGCAACTCATCAGGTATATAAATTTCTAATTAATGTTGTGGGCTGTATTTGGAATTATTACATCTCTCAATAGTTTTTGTCTGTTATTGTAATATTTTGAACATTCCATGAAAAAATGTACCTCATTTTCTATTTTGTTCTCTGAACAATGTATACATAATCTATTTTCTAGGGGTGTTTTTGGTTTTTGGATGTATATTTGTTTGACAATCAGTTTCAAGATGGATGAGTAGTTGTCATTTTAATGTTAAAAAAGCATTGCTGAGATTACATTACCCAGATCTGTTATACACGAAGAGCTACAGCTACATTATACATCTTGTCATTTGTTTCATGTTCTGACTTAAAATGGATGATTTATTTCAATTTTGTTTACTATTGAACTAACAGGGACTCATGAATTGTTTTCATATACATTTTTAAATTTAGGAATTTCCAAAAAATTGCAGAAGTACGGTTTTCTGAACGTTTTTGGCCTTTGTTATCACTGTGATGGTTGCCAGGCAATGAAAATGCCCAGATGTCTGCCTACAACCATGTCAAACAATGTCCATGCTCTTTGGCATTTTGAACTAAAATCAACAATTTAATTCACCTCAAAATTATTTTTATAAAGCTCACAGACATGACAAGAAAATAGCAACAAATAACTTCACTATAAGAACACCTGAGATGTTGACATAAATGCATGTTCTGTAATAGAACATATATGATAATTAAAACCTTGAGAATTTCAGCAATAAATTGCTGTACCTACTCCATAGTTATTTTATTTTGCTGACAAAATAGAAATAGTATCTATGACGTGGAATATTTGAAACAATAAATTGTTGAATTTGCAGGTAGTATTATGCTTGAAAGACTTCTATAGTGAGATAAGTTGTTTTAAAACCCTGTGTAGAGGTATTAACTATACAGAGCCTATTGTACAATATTTCTTTCTGTTTTCATGGCAGGTAAATATTATAACTATGACAGCAGCAAACAAAAACACAGCAACAGTATTATGTGTGACCAGGCTGCTGGACAGTGGTATTTACGAGCCTGTGGTTTAGTACAGGAAAATGATGAAGTTTTCCCCAAAGATCACATTCTATGTGCTCTGCGTGCAATATACAAGATGAATGTCATGGGTTTTGAGAAAGGCACCATGGGAGCTGTCAATGGAATGAGGCCTGATGGAAGTCCAGATACTACGAGTTTTCAAAGTGAAGAAGTCTGGACTGGGGTAACCTATGCATTAGCAGCTAATATGATTCAAGAGGTAAGACCAACAAACTTCTTTCAAATCAACCAATTATTGCTGTTGTGGCTCTAAGGAGTCCAAGTAGTAGAGTTCTACATCTTCTCTGTATAATTATTACCTGTGAAAGTGACATCAAAGAATTGGACTCTAAAAGTGACATAAATGGAATGTTATTTGCTGGAGAAGTCTTTTAAATTAGAATACATGTACTTAAACCTTAGAAGCCACCAGACTCTCTTTTAACATTTTTAACAAGTAATCGGTGTACGGGTTGTTTAAATTTATTTAACAATCAGATATAAATACACTTGCTTCACACCTTTCATAGTTTTCCCATGGTAAGAGTATGACCTGAAAACATATTTAGATTGGGGAATTTTTTGATTTATCAAAATGATGTGTGAGGGTGCTATGCTATTCTCTTCAAAAGAGTGTCACTGGTTTTCTTGTATTGTAAATGTATTGTCTTCTCAGGAAATACAAAACGTAGCTGCTATGTCAACCAGTTTACAGAATGTAAAATGATCACTATCATCACTGTAAATTTTATATTCCTTTCTATTGTAGGGATTGTTGGAAGAAGCATTTACCACTGCCAGTGGGGTCTATAAAACTTGTTACGAGAGATGTGGTCTTGGATTTCAAACACCTGAGGCATACTTCGCAAACAACTGTTATCGGTCATTGGGATATATGCGTCCATTAGCTATTTGGGCTATGCAATATGCAGTGGAGAGGACTGATAAATTGCAATAGTATTACCGAGATATTTTGGTTTTGATCTCAGGGGATGAATTGAATATGTGCAACATTAATAAACCAATCAATGTGGTGTTTTTTATTCATGTGACTTATGATTGCTATATATTGGATAGAGAGTCAGTCCTAAGGCAAAAAACTAAAAGTTAGTTAAAAAAGGGGGGATGGGGTTAAGAGATGTTTATCTTGGATGTGATTTAAATTTCAAGTTTAATTCCAAATCATGTGCAATCAGTATATTTAATCCTTTAAGTTATTAGTCAATCTGGGAAGAAAGGATGTCAAATTCCCAGTCAGCTGTCTTGCAAATTGGTGATACAGTGACCTCTCGCGAAGTTGTGATATTGACTAAGTTGCGGGTGATTGAATGACTCCCAAAAAATTCTATTTTAGTGGAAAATAGCTAAAATTAATGTTTCTTTGCATTATGTATTTAATTTTGTATTAGCTAGTCAGTTTGAGACAATTAGAGTCAATGTTTTTCAAACCATGACAATGTCATCTGCATTTAATACCCATTACCTTGTCAATTAACTGGGATACAAAAAGTGTTGAAACTCGCAACTATAAACGTTTCTCGGCAGGTACTAATTTAATAATATAAAACCCATTGCAATCTAAACATTCCATCATTCTGATCTCAAGTTATCCAGTCTGTCTGTCTTGATAAGTTGTAATAAGTCATTTTTTTGCTTGAATCCTAACACTTGCGACTCAGCGAGGGGTCACTGTATAATAAATACAAAGAGTTCACCGATCGCCACTATATATGGTGCAACTTATCCTCATCAAATATAAGTTATGAAATGCAATTTTACAGTGAAACAAGCCTCAATTTTTCCAATCAAACCATCCATTTAGGTAGATGTAATATAGCCACTAACGAAATTCAACCAAATTCGGCATGTATACGAATAAGTTTATTATATACCATTGTTAATTAATTATAAATTTGCTCTTATTATTAAATACACACTCTCTTCAGTTACACATTGATGCAAGGCCTAAACTATGCAAACATCGAGTCGAGTTATGGTATAGACTGAATATAGATCTTAAAACTGTTGTACTGGTTACCTTGATAAATCCTTAAAAACTGACCAACATTCTTCAACCAAGTGATTATCGGACTGAACATTTTTCTTACATAACAATCTTTAGAGGGAAAATAAAACCATTGAATTAAATATTTTTACTTTTCTTTTTTTTAACTTGTACATAGAATATACATGTAGTATTAGATTTTATTCTGAATAAGTTTATAAAATTAGTTCATGAGTACAATGTACATTTATTGCACACATATATGTACATACTGACTTTATGTGTACAAAATAGCAAAATTGACATGTTATTTGTATTTATCATGCATTATGCAACAGCTATTATTTTATTTTATTTCAAAAGTTGTCATTGTTCATCGGAATTACAGTTGTACAGAAAGAGATGAAATAAACCAACTGTTTGCAGTCTAGATATTGTCTAGTATGATAATTTACATCAAAGTGCAAATGCAAATAAACTGAGATGGTAAATGCTTACAGTTGTATTCACACTATGAAATATGTAAAACATCACATCCAGAACAAGCTTTAAAAAATATAGGAAATTTATATTGTTTTATACTGAAAAAAAAATCTAAAATGTTAAAAGAAGATATCCTGCAGACATGTTTACATATTTCATTTTGAGACTACTGGAAGTCTTATCCCTTAGGCGAACTATAATCAAACTATAATTGTGACAAATATGGTACTGGCAGTCATGAAAACTCGTAAGTAGTCAAAAGAAGAGTTTTGAGTTCATGTGAAAATCCACAACAAAAATACGTTACAGTAATCACTTGGAGTTAGGCACATTGAGCTGTTTATGCATTTAACTTGGTGGAAGTTCTTATCTACTCCTATTGCAGGTAAACCTATATGTTCATGATGATTTATTTAGTGTTTGAATCCAAAATGACCAACTGGCAGCCATGTTGTTTTTTCAAAATGTATCACTGACATGTTTGTTTTTTCTTTTCAAATTATATATGTTAGAATATATGTTCACGACAATTAGTTTCACAATCGAATCAAAGATGGTTGACTGCTTTTGACCATACTACTATATGTCTGATAATAGGATTTTGGAAGAGTCATATATTCTTATTTCTGTTGATACTATCCCAGCCAATTATTCACTCTCAATTACTAACTATGCTTTTGATCCATATTACTTTATTTTTGGCATGAATAACATTTCCCTTACCGTAATTCCAACAGGGACTATGTCATTAACAATGACTTGTTTTGGCTAAATTGTGAAAAAGATTCAACTTTGATTTATGTGTGAAATAATTTATTTAAACATGCAGTTTCTCTAAGATAATATTATTAAATTGTGTATTATTGTACCATATGCTGCTGAACTAAATGGTTGAGACGTGATATTTTGCATATATACCAATGGGAAAAATCTCCATGCAGGATGTTTGACTTGTGTTAGTGTAAAATAAAAACATTGTGCAGCTAGTATAAATTTGCCTATGGCAATTCACAAATGGAAGTATAGTCGGGGGAAAAAAAGGAGATTTGGAATAAGTTAAATTAAAAAAACATTATGCAACAACTTAGAATAAAAAGCTTTCAGTTGCTGCAGGTTTTAGATATTTTTGTTCAAATTTGACGCAAACTGTCATAGAAAAATAATAAATTGAAATATGAAATAAACATATCTGAAAAGAAATATTTTGTTAGTGTAATTTATTACACTGCTTTCACTGGTAATATATTCACAATACTGTGGTGTATCAAACTAATACTTTCTTTCACTGATGTGTATACTGGTAATACATTTACACTACTATGTGGTATATTACACTATCACAGATGTATACTAAATTTTCACTGTAATTTATTACACTGCTTTCACTGGTAATACATTCACAATACTGTGGTGTATCAAACTAGTACTTTCTTTCACTGATGTGTATACTGGTGATACATTTACACTACTATGTGGTGTATTTAATATATTACTTTCACTGTTGCATTACGCTGACATATTATATACATTTACATACCATGTAATTATAAGATAAATAGCACAAAGGAGGAACCCTTAAGAGAAGCTATAGCAATCAATCGATGGTATCTGAGAGCCATTGGAGAACACACAAAAAGTAATGACATCATCAAATATTAGTGCTGCAAAATTACCTGAAGGTGCTGCAGAGAGGGGCATGTCATAGCAGTTTTCATCACAAAAAAAAAAATTCCCCTTAATTCTGTGCACTAATTATTGCTGTAATATTGGCACAGATATAAGATGAAGTATCTTTAAAAGCAAAAACAACACATTTTAGATTTCTTAAAATCAAATTTGGCAGTAAGCAACAACATCAAAAATCGAAAAATTATTTTATACTTTATCCATATTTAAATTTGAACAATATGGCTTACTTTCAAGCAACAAATAGCATAGTTACAAAAATGTAATCACTTATTAGTTGTCTAAAAATATAAAACAGTGTATGTATTGAGCAACAGATAGACACCATCATGCAAATTTAGTAGTCTAAAAAGTATAACACTCAGTGCATTTATATAATATATCTTTATTGTTTAGTCATCTGAAAAAACTGTGTGCCAATTTATCTCTCAAACTTGGTGGAACTATGAAATAATACATTTAGTCCAGCATTTACACACAAGTAGTTATATAACCGAATATACAGAACAAAATAAGAATTTAGAAAAATAAATTGGGAAATTCAAAACTGTGCGTCAAATAAATAGACCCTGTCAAGTAAATGAAACTGATGACCAAGATAGTATCAGCTAAGCAATCTGTTCAATAGCTGCATAGTGGTGTCCGTCATAAATACCACTGTTGAGTCTGACTACGAGAAGTAAGGAGAGTTTAATAATAATCTGCAATGCAGGTGGCCAAGAATCCATGCAGTGTTCTATGAAGTGTTCCACTCACTATACACCACTCAATTAACACCTAGAATATATGCAGTGTTCCACTCACTATACACCACTCAATTAACACCTAGAATCTATGCAGCGTTCCACTCACTATACACCACTCAATTAACACCTAGAATATATGCAGTGTTCCACTCACTATACACCACTCAATTAACACCAAGAATCTATGCAGTGTTCCACTCACTATACACCACTCAATTAACACCTAGAATCTATGCAGTGTTCCACTCACTATACACCACTCAATTAACATCAAGAATCTATGCAGTGTTCCACTCACTATACACCACTCAATTAACACCTAGAAACTATGTAGTGTTCCACTCACTATACACCACTCAATTAACACCTAGAATCTATGCAGTGTTCCACTCAATTAACACCTAGAATCATACACCACTCAATTAACACCTAGAATCTATGCAGGGTTCCACCCACTATACACCACTCAATTAACACCTAGAATCTATGCAGTGCTCCACTCACTATACACCACTCAGTTAACACCTAGAATCTATGCAGTGTTCCACTCACTATACACCACTCAGTTAACACCTAGAATCTATGCAGTGTTCCACTCACTATACACCACTCAATTAACACCTAGAATCTATGCAGTGTTCCACTCACCATACACCACTCAATTAACACCTAGAATCTATGCAGTGTTCCACTCACTATACACCACTCAATTAACACCTAGAATCTATGCAGTGTTCTACTCACTATACACCACTCAATTAACACCTAGAATCTATGCAGTGTTCCACTCACTATACACCACTCAATTAACACCTAAGAATCTATGCAGTGTTCTACTCACTATACACCACTCAATTAACACCTAGAATCTATGCAGTGTTACAATCACTATACAACATTTAATGAACACCTAGAATCTATGCAGTGTTCCACTCACTATACACCACTCAATTAACACCTAGAATATATGCAGTGTTCTACTTTCCTTGCTAAAAATTGTTGAAAGCATGAATTGACTTATTTGATCATATGATACGAGACAGTGCATTCCAATATTTTCTCTTCTCATACATACATCATCAGATGTGCATAGCACATGGAAATACCCCATAACCTTTGTTTGTCCTGTTTTCACATTTCAAGCATATTGTGGGATCTCACATTCAATGAAAAACAGGATATTAACACCACAAGTAATCTGATTCTGAATGAGCCACTAAACATTCCTACAAGCTGTTGCTTCTGATAATCCAATGGGAAAAAGTGCTTTAATCCCAAGATTAGGATTAGGTGTACGGTAATAAACAAAAAAATAACATGAACACAAGTTTTCAAAAAACAAATGGCCAATGAATTCAGGATGACCACTTGTGTGCAAATGCTGTTAATATTGATATCTTTAAGATGTAATACACAACTAGTTTTTCTATATACATGTACTAGTATAAAGTTTGTTAAGAATAAATACTGACAATGTGTACATTACAACAGCAAGCTTTTTAATGATTTTTTGCAAATTCGCTTCTTGTAATATAAAATTATATTAAATAATCAAAAAAAATATCTTCAAGTTAATTTTTCACATATACTTAAATTGTTTGATAATTATTCTATTTTGCGTTTCTAAAGACAAATGGTTCTCATTTTCAAAATTCTATACCAAGACTAAATCACATTCACCTAGGGGGACAGCTTCACAAAATTTATAAGTAACCTAGAGAGACATGTACAAATAACTCCCTCGGTGAGAAGCATTGTAGATAGAAACAAAATTATTGACAATAAATTTGATATAGAAATATAGCAAAATAAATTAAAGTTAAAAGCACCTTGCAAATCAGACATATAATGAATTTGATAGAGGATATTGTATGCCTAATTTTAAGAGTTTTTTTTTCTCGTTCAAAGTTGTGATATAAGCTTATATTAAAAATAACATATACTGAAAAAGGATATTTTCATAATATAACATACATTTCTTGTACCAGATTAGGTTTAATTTTAAATATTTATTCATAAGTAGTGAAGATGGGCTTCAGAAACAGCGCCCCCTTTATGCGTTCATGTAGGCTGTACATCACTGTAATAAAAACACAACTTTCCATTTAAAATATAGTCTTTGGGTTAACCCACTTCACAGCAGGAGTGGAGAAATCTTAGTGGGGTGACTTTAATCACTGTCTGAGTCCTCAGTGTCATCATAATTGACAAAGTCTATTTCTCCCACAATTCCCTGCCTCTGAGCGTATTCTATGACAGCGAAATGACAGAACTCGTACTGGTCAGGCGTCTGGATTGTGAATGCTCTCTGTGTTCTCATCCGTTGAACCGTAGTTTTAACATCAATGGTTCCAATGTCATTAAGTCTGGCTAAGCTGATATCCAGAGTGCAAAACGTACCTATAGACAAAAAAAAGACTTTAGATTCAACATAATCTGCCAACATTTGTAAAAAATTACAACCGTATTAAAAAAGACCATTGGCATAACCTGTTTTTTAGAAATGCCCAACTAACATTTGTAGTAAATCGTACCTGTGCGTCCTATGCCAGCGCTGCAATGAACTAAGATGGGCGGACCCAATGTATGACCTTGCCACTGATCACCCAGACTCTTTAGATTACGTGCTTGGTAAGATCTCACTTCGCTCAAAAAATCTAACATGGCCGCAGCAGAACTGGGTACGCCAAAGTCTGGCCAACTCGTGAACTGGAAATGGGTCACATCACGAACTTCATCGGTCTGGAAGTTAACAAACAGATATCAGAGTTGGAAACATTACAACATGACAACTTACTGCTTAATGTTAGTTTGTATGATACAGTAATCTGCTTGATGCCCAAAACAAATTAAGCTGAATTTCAAATAAAAGACTTGGGATATTCTAAGAGCAAACTTTGATTTTATATAAAGAGCTACTAGTATTATTGTTATAACAATATACATGATAAATTGGATATTCAGTTATAGCTCAGTTTCATACTTTTCACCATGAGCTACAGACATGAAGAAGTTGAAGACTGAATTCATTATTCTACCAAAATTTAGAAAATTTTCCAACAATTCGACTATCATGTGTTTGATGATTTTTTACCCAATATAATTTCCCATTTCCTACAGACTCTGATCCAAATTTATTCACATTTACATTGTCAGTAGCATAAAGTGTTTTTACGGTTAAAGGAATCTTTATATTTTAAACAGGGGTTGTGCAAAATCATGCTTACCTTACTGTTTCTCATTTGCAACGTGCTGATTGTGTAATCATTTTTCTTTTCTATCATTTTGTTGATCACCGAAACATCCCCATAAACTTCAGTGGAATTCTCCTCATTTGGCCAGTATTGTCCACACTTTAAACGTCCTCGTTCCACCGTTCTGGTTGTCATGACAATTACCAGCACTGTTTGTTCCCAGATCATTCGCCAGTAGTCTGCGAATGTTTTTGGTAATGGACCTATCAAGACAAGACAATGGAACGCATGTGTCAGATGGTTAATAGTTAAAGGCTTGTGTGAGAAACAATTTGGGTTATCAAGTTCAAGGTCGTTCAGCATGTCATTTGAACAGGACTCACCTTGTGCAGCGATAAATGCATTTTTCTGTTTATATCCATCCATATAATTTGCATTGATGTAATCACTATTGGGATCACCGTTAATAAAATTAAGAGGAACACGTGTATGATCATAGCTCGGTACATCAGTGTAGCGATTCTTAACAGCATTGACTTTCAACCTACAAATCAAAGAAGAGCGTGTAAAAATACATGTAACAAAGCCTCAGCACTATTAGGGAATTGGTCAACAAGACACACACTTGACCTGGAAGCTTGCAATGTACATAAAATGTACATAAAACTTTCCCCTATCTGTAAGCTTGCAATGTACCTTAGACTGGCCCCTATCCTGTAGGCTTGCAATGTTACCTTAGACTGGCCCCTACCTGTAGGCTTGCAATGTTACCTTAGACTGGCCCCTATCTGTAAAGCTTGCAATGTACCTTAGACTGGCCCCTACCTGTAGGCTTGCAATGTACCTTAGACTGGCCCCTACCTGTAGGCTTGCAATGTACCTTAGACTGGCCCCTACCTGTAGGCTTGCAATGTACCTTAGACTGGTCCCTACCTGTAGGCTTGCAATGTACCTTAGACTGGCCCCTACCTGTAGGCTTGCAATGTACCTTAGACTGGCCCCTACCTGTAGGCTTGCAATTTACCTTAGACTAGGCCCCTACCTGTAGGCTTGCAATGTACCTTAGACTGGCCCCTACCTGTAGGCTTGCAATGTACCTTAGACTACCCTACCTGTAGGCTTGCAATGTACCTTAGACTGGCCCCTATCTGGAAGCTTGCAATGTACCTTAACTGGCCCCTACCTGTAGGCTTGCAATGTACCTTAACTAGCCCCTACCTGTAGGCTTGCAATGTACCTTAACTAGTCCCTATCTGTAAGTTTGGAATGTACACAAAACTGGCTGCTACCAGGAAACTTGGAATATACATAAAACTGGTTCCTACCTGGAAGCTTGGAATGTTCCTGTGGGTGGTTCAAGTCGAATTTTAGCATATTCTTTATAAATACCACTTTTCTTAACTGACTGCAAATGATTGATAAGCATATCTACTGTCATGCCACCACTTTCTGGTTTATGTATTGGTTCATCTGATGGAACCCCTGGCTTTAATTTCCTTGGCACTGGCGGTGGTGGGACATGTGGATATGAGGGATCTGGAACTGTGTGTATTTCAGCTGTTGTGGTCGCCGATGGTTCATCGCAACTATCAGCAAGAAGCGGATCTGCATCATTTCTCACAGCAGTGTTCACCAACTCCTTGTGATTTTTCTCAGACTCCAAAACTCGACTGTGTCGAATTTCGGGAGGTGATTCGTCAGAGTAAGCTGATACGACTCGAGCGGCAGCCAACGCTGCTCTCTCGTTAGCAATAAGAGCTCTGTTATCAGCACTCAAGTCCTCCATTTCACGACTTTCTTTATTTTTGTACGTATTATAACAGGATGATAACCAGTCCTTGTGATCCACAGAAACAGGCCCATTCATTTGCTTGGGAAGTGACTCTTTCGGAAGAACTTGAGGAAGATCAGTGATGTTTGTCAACACAACCTTCAAGAATTCAAGAACAGAAAATTAGCATAACAATAAAATTATACAGTCACTGGTCAAATCCACATGTACACACAATAGACCGCTTGATTGTTGCAGCTAGAAATTACGTTGCAAAAGTCACTCCATGTGTAATGGATGTGTAAAACATGCACCAAAATTTGCGGAAATTTGACTCTTGCAAAAATTAAACCAGTTCACAGTATTGTAGGCCAGATTGAAAAAAGGTTTATGATCTGCATGGGTTGGATGCATATCAGATATCAGTTGAGATCAAAATGATAATAGTCACAGATGTACATGTAAATCCTAAATGTCCGAATAAGCTGATAACCGGATTAGATCAGGAATGGCATGCGCATATATATATATATACTGAAGGCATCAGCAGTGTATGCTAATGTTAAAGTGACCTGTATTCAAGATAATTATGAATAATCCTCCTAAACAAGTTATATTAACAGACAAGTTTTGAATTCTCTGATTGAGCTTGATTTCTTAACGAGACGTTCATGTGACAGTTTACTGTAAAATACTTTTATTATTTTTAATAGCTAGAATTATTTTCGACAGACATTTTGTGCTGTTTTAATTTGTATTTTATCGCTGGCTTACTCTGA